CTCACACGGGAGCAAATTCGGCTCCTGTTAATTTTACTTGGACGTAGTGTTATGGATACCAAAGGTGTACCATCTGTCAACACGCTGTCAACAAATCAAGTTAAGTGTTCTTTCCGAAACCCATTATTTATCATTAGTGGCCATTAATGTCATTATATAGGGTGACCCGGTTAGATCACATGGAAGCCTCAAACTAAAGGTAATTAAGCCAGGTCTTCATGTTCCATGTACTGTTTTCTCTGATATACTTGTCATATATAGGTATCTGGCTTCACAGCTAGCGCACTTTTGACAGGTCAAGACGAGGATGCAAGATTTGTGCACCAGTTACTGGGTGATATGGAAGCTACCTCAAAGAGGATAATTTGGTGTCTACACCCTAGTTATACCTGGTGGACTAACCTGCTGTACTATAAGATAAGGAACCTCTTTAATGTATGTAGTTATTTCTGTAGTTTGATTGGCTGCATATATATATTAATTTAATAACCCCCCCCCTAATGTGTAGAGGATCGATTTGTGAGATTATGAGATTATTGCAGAAATACAGTCCACTTATCATTATACAAATTGCTATCGAAGTATATAAATTAACGTAAATATAAATTCATATAAATTAAATAAATATAAATCTCACAGGTCGGTTCCCACAGAGCGCCCTAGAAGAGGCTGCGACCTAAGGCGCAACAAAAACTACCACAACAGCCTAAGAAGACCAAAACTGGTATGGATGGAACCTGAAAGAGAGTGAGAGTTGGTGTGATCAACTCTCAAGAGTCGAGGCTAAGATGATAAAACTCTTAGAAGCCAATTTTTCAGGTCTATGTAGACACAGGGAGATGAAAGCTGAGCACACGAACGCATTCCAGCAGCCTGACTAATTTTTCCCTTCATTACACCATTAGAAAAATTAGCAGTCTGAAGTCTGCGTGGCTTGACTCCTGGCTGCATCTTCGTGTCTTCCAAAATAATGTATTGTGTAATATGCAGATGTTTCAGAGTATAAAGGGAATTGAATTTAGACATTTCAAAATTGACAGAAATTCATGGATATTCACGTACCTAAAGGGGAAAAAAAATCCCGATTCCCTTAGTCATGGCAGTGCACTGAAAGTCATGCAGAGTATTGAAAGCCACGCAGAGCATCCAGAAATTCAACAAAATTGTATAAATTCTACAGAATTTAATTCAATTAAAATGATTTTGGGGAATACGGGTGAATTTCAGAATGTCCTGACAATTCTAAAATATCCAGAAGACATTTTAGACGTTGCGATATATTCTGAAGTATTCAGTGGAAGCCAAGCCACTCCGGAGATCTAATGAAGTCAAACAAATCGATTTAACAAATTCTTTGGACATTTTAAATTATATATTAAATACCTCGACGGAAACAAGAAACCTGCGGCTAGTCAAAACTACCAATTATAGTCGAGCATTTTTTCCATCAAAATTTTCAAGAGAACACCGTTGCTGATGATAAAATATACTTTACTATATACTAAATATTTACTCTAATTGTATGAAAAAAATAATCCCAGAGCCTGGTTAAACATATGGTCAGCTGAGCGTTTGAACGTACCAGCCTGTAAGTTGTACCTGAGTCACAGTAACTCAGGGAGGAGACAAAGCTTGCAGCTGCACCTGAGAGTCACAGTGACTCAGCGGCTGTAGACGGCTCACTTGACACTGAAGAGGGTCGCTATGTAGCAGCAGAGGGCTTCGTCACCCTTAGACGGTGAGAAAGTCACTTGAGATTACCACTCAGCTCTTTGGAAGACGGGAAGAGGGGGGGACTATGGAGAAAGAAAGAGGAGACAGAAGATGAGAAGTGACAACAAAGAGAGGGGCCGGAAAAGGGAAGGGGCATAGTGATGGAGTACAGAAACATTACCTCAGCATTCACTTATATGTTTGTAGTCAAATAGAATAAACGAAAAAGACACAGGAAATTAACCCATGTGCGTGCGAACGTTAAACTCTTCATTAGGGAACTAACAGGACAAGGGGCTAATCCCTGACTACAGTAACAGGACAAGGGGCTAATCCCTCACCACAGCAACAGGACAAGGGGCTAATCCCTCACCACCGCAACAGGACAAGGGGCTAATCCCTCACCACAGCAACAGGACAAGAGGCTAATCACTTACGTTATAAATTCATTACCAGTAATATAGCAATTAAATATGTGTAATTTATTCTGTATTTAGATAATTCTAAGATTTTTGGGTAATTCTACAGACCCGGCTGAAGTCGCCTTTTATATAAATTCCTGGTATGCCTTAGTTGTATAAATTTTAAGATGTAAAAATGGTTGAATATCGAAGAGTTAGGCCATATACGTTTTCTATTAATATGTTCCAGAGAAAATGTGACTCGCTATGGATAGACTATTGCATAATATTAACGTTCGGTTGTTTAAGCACGTTTCTGGAGTGAAGAAATCGCTTAAGCTACTTTAAGCGATTGGGATGTATTTTATTATCTCAATAAATTACTTGAGAGCGCGTCTCTGTTTATATAATTGTTGTATCCTGATTGTTCTTCCGGGGTTTGGGTCAGCTCATTGGTCCTGTGTCTAAACATTATATTTATTTACCTGAGGGCCACTAGTATGTGGCCCTAGATAAGGACAGGAAGCCAGCGGCTTGTCAAAGGTCTCCCCTAACCACAGCATATCGACTTGTGTACCAGCTTCCAAGACTGTTAGTCTGTTATATATAACAAAAGGGGGAATCTTTGACAAGCTGCCGGTTTCCTGTCCCCGTTGACGTCACTAGAGATATTTTGCCCCCTAAGTAAGTTCAGGTTAACATAATGCTGTGTTAGGAGTCTGTACCACATCTTCACTTCCCAGGGCATTCTAATTCTTAATTACTTCAACATTAAAAAGTTATTTATTATGTCTGTGATCCATCCGGGTTCCATTTATTTATTTATTTTATTTATTTATTTATATACAAGAAGGTACATTAGGTTAGAGAGAATACATAGCATAGTATTTACAATCTTGTAAAGCCACTAGTACGCGCAGCGTTTCGGGCAGGTCCTGAATCTAACAGATAATTTTAAGTAAGTAAATTTGTTTGTATACGACTCATATCAAGCCCTAAAAAATTTATCTAGTGATCATGGCCCGTATCCTGGCCGGGGAGGATTGACTGGGCGCCAATCCTAACTTTAGCCTCGGTTCACTTAGCTACACCTGGGTACCTGATTATTGAACGATTTGGCGGGGTCGTATTAAAGAGAAAATTAGGATTAAGGCCTGTCCCAAAACGCTATGCGCGCTAGTGGCTTTACAAGAATGTAAGAACTCTTGTATATAAAATAAATAAAATAAAATAAAAATGTCGTCCCTGGTGCTTTTCTCTCTTTAAGTGACGTGCAGTTTAATTCCATTAGTCTTACCTCGTACCTTGTACCTCTCAGATATAGTAGCCTAATAGCCTGGTGACATTCTGGGGACGGATCGAAACGTCGTAACTTCCCGTATTAGAGACGTGTGGGTTGGGCGACATGAGGACTCCACATTGACACCGGATTTTGTCTATGGTAAAACTGAAACGTTTGCGCTCGTTTCCTTTCACCTGATGAAACTATTCAACTAGCAATAAAATAGGTAGCCTGGAGTCTGGAAGCTGTTGTGTCTTGCATCCTGGGGGAAGGTTGGCCTAGAGGCACGCAAGAAAGCCTAAGACAGGATTCCTGTCCACGACAACGGTTTTTATATATGACACACAAGTTCCTGAATGATTCACTAATCAGATTTATAAACGCTGTTTTTACTAGAAGAATTAGGTGGAATTACACACACATGCAATTAATGATATATATGTTTATTATCGGTTTTTGGAGGCGATGAGTCACAATAACGTGGCTGAAGTATGTTGACCAGACCACACACTAGAAGGTGAAGGGACGACGACGTTTCGGTCCGTCCTGGATCATTCTCAAGTCGATTGTCATTCACAATCAACTTAAGAATGGTCCAGGACGGACGGAAACATCGTCGTCCCTTCACCTTCTAGTGTGTTGTGGTCTGGTCAACATCGGTTTTTGGAGTTTGGTTTTCGTCTTTCCGACTCTAACAGTTCCTCTGCAATTTGGTACCTTTTGGTACCTTTCTGATGTGTGGTTTGGTGATAAACAAACCACACATCAGAAAACGGAGAAACGACGACGCTTTGACCGTCATTTATCCATTAAGTCCAGAACGGACAGAAATGTCGCCGTTTCCCCATTTTCTGATGTGTGATTTAGGCCTCATATCTTCAGCCACGTTATTGTGGCTCATCGTCTGCCTTTGATACCATGCGTTCGCTCCTGTTTCCTGCGCTCGACTTTCCCCCCTTGCTTGACTTAAACTTAAATTGTTACAGGTTTAACCACTCTTTTCTGTTTTTCCGTATCATACTGAGGTGTCTTGTAATTTTCCACGGTTTTTTGCCTCTCAATAAAATAATAATAATAATAATTTTCTGTATCAACATAGAAATGAGTCTATAACTTAGATAATGTACATACATCAGGAACACAATAGTAGCTTGTTGTGACTTCTGTGGGACGCCTTTGGCGTCAACAAATTCTAACTCTGAAGTCTATACTCACGCTGTAATTATAATTCACAATAATTATGTGTTTTGTTAGTCGGGTACTCCCATGTGTGTTTTCTTATGTGGTTTCTTATGTGGCTCATTGGTTGTTAAGCTTACTCTGGTTCTCAAGCTGCTCTGGGTCTCAAGCTTCCTGTGGTTCTCAAGCTCGTTCTTTTACTCAAAATAGTTTATTTATCCAGCTAGTTTATGTGTTAATCAAACTCGTTCTCTTTCTTAAGCTTTTACTGTTTCTCAAGTTTGTTGTTCTTCTGAAGAAATGATGTATTCCTTAAGCTTTTCATAAGAAAACAAAATAACCACACTCTTCTCATCATCCATGTAGTGTTAACTCTTCATTTACCAGTCTTCATATTAGGCTTCAGGAAATAATAATGACAGTTGTTTATATATTTCAAGACATGTATTTATGGATGACTAAACAACGTACATAACGAGATGGCATTCATTATGTGTATGATTTTCATGAGTATTATTGATGTTAAACAGTATAGAGTCTGAAAGGGGAAGTATAGACATGCTAACTCAACAGAATTATTAGTTAAATTACTGTACTGCTTCAGCAAATGGCTTTTGCAGGCTCTCTCTGCGAGTGAACTCTTTATTTTCATACAAACATATATAATTAGCGCTGCTGGCAGTTCTAAGCTCATTGCCTATTACCTCTACAGGCTAAGTATTCCAGTGTTAAAAATGTATACAGAGTAAATGGATAAAGATTGCTTTCGAAAATTCTTGTGACGCATATAAGTCAGCAGAAACGAACTCTCAATGTTTCAGATATTAATGCATATTATGCAAATTATAACTGTGTATTCAATAGTCATCAATAAAAGCAGATAGTAATTTGGAAAAAAAATCAACTGAATTCTAACGATGATCATTATAATGGTGCTCAATGAACTGGTGTTCATTTTATTGGGTTCAATCTAGTGGAGCGCATCGTGGAAGACCTTGACGTAGATTCTCTTGATATTGGGAGACTCAAGGAAGACGCGATTGTCTGGGACTCTGCGGTCGACGGGGTAACCCATGGGCCGCTTGTCTGGGTACTTTTCTCCGTGAATGCCACACTGAGCATGCGTGGCGCCTAGTTCTTCAGGATTGTCTACGGTCTTATCCTCGTCGCCGTTGGTCACACCCACAAACAAGGCGAAGTCCATTCCCCTCTCCTTACCCTTAGGCAAGAGTAGTCTGTTGGGGATGCCACACGACCGTTCGAACTCGTGAAGGTCAAGCCGGCCTCTGCTGGCTACGGCCTGGTCAGTTTTCCTCTTCAGTGTGGCGAAGCTTGGTCTGTCAGGAACTGTTACTGAAGAGTCAACGGACTTGCGAACAACGTGGTTAGTTCCGGGAGCAACTGTATTGAATTACAGAAAAAATACATGTTAATTAACATACAGTTTTTTGATTAGCATAGTATTTTTTTAGTCAATCAAAAAGTATTTGTCTCCAAAGTTGGCCGATACACGAGTCTCAAAATATAGCCATCTACATTATAATACAATTACGGAATGAAGGATATACTTACGTGATTTATAAAACTTGTCCATCTCAATGCAGAACCAGTGACCCTCTTGCCAGGTGAAGGTGACTCCATTGCTGTCCTTAAGAGGACACAAGAAGATGCGGATGGTTCCTAGTACTTTTCTGCCATTGTTGTTTGTGATGTCAATATTGTAGGAAAATTCTTGGTGGTTGAGGCGGTTTACATCAGCGGAGATGTCAACGTCTGCCACGTTCTCAGACTGGTCTACGGCATTAATAAGACTAAACTCGAAAGTGTCAAAGTATGTCTTCAGTTCTCCATCAATGGCAACACTGTCCAAGACTACTCCAGGGAATGCGATGTCCTCTTTGGTGTAGGGAGGAAGGCTGTCTTTGTGTTCCTTGAAAATGTTATCCATGTATTTGTGAAGTCTAAAGAAGCTTGGGTCACGGGTCGCTGTCTCGAAGTGTTCCATGACACCTGGAGGCATGTCGAACTTGCCGTGAGGATCACCTTGGCGACCAAGCATTATGTGAGCTGTATTGTGCAGGGCTCCGTAATATTGCGCGTTGGGGCTGTACACTGAAGATTCAATGATGTCTCCTAGTAGGTCGATGCCGTGCTCGTTTCTGATGTCAATATGGTTTCCACTTTTGTCGGTGATGTAGCCAAGAGCAATGGCGTCGCGAATGCGGCTCTCTAAGATAACCATGTCACGCACTCTAGCTACACCATCAACGTCTTCGAAGTGAACGTTGTCAGGACGAGCTGGGAACTCTCCGCCATACTTGTAGCTGGTATGTGGAGCAAATCCTTCGTGAATAACCTTTTCCCAGTGTATTTCATCAACAACATCCAGCCAGTTGGAGAGACGCTCAGAGTCAAAGCGAGCAGTAAGTTGGTGGTGAACCCAGAAGAAGAGCTCTCCCTTGCGGTCCAGGTGGTAGCCGTAGGAGTCCTTCCACCAGAAGGGGAAGTCCATATGCCAAGTAACGTGGTGAATGTTCATGCCAATATCCTCGCCGAAGTATGCCACTCGCTGTTCCTTATTTTTCTTTGTTCCGGTGAAATCCATTTTGAATTTGCCTGGTGTCTGAGTCATCTTGGCTGAGTAAGCCTTGTTGATGACTTCACTGTTGGTGAACAGGTGAGGAGTGACTTCGTAGAGTGGAGGAAGTACAATGCCATGTCCCAGATCTGAGTGGATGACAGCCACATAGAGTGCGTACACAAACTCTCCTTCATTCACGCGCTCACGGAAGTAAGCAGCGTTGTTAATGAAGCCCTCCCACGTTTTACAGTGAATCAGAACTTCAAAGAGCATGAGAGCTTCTTCACGTTGGCGAGTATTAAAAAGTGAGAACCAATGGCGCTGCTCCAACAGCCTGCCGTCCCTGAGCTCCTCCATAAGGACATGGGCGGCTGCGCCAGCATCAGTGTAGAGGGAGGTGTCAGCCTCAGGGGAGAAGGTCCCGGCGATGGTCTTCAAGTCAGCATAGTGAAGGTGGTCATAGATGTAGTCGAGCAGGTGGTTGACGTCTTGCTGTCTCTTGGCTAAGGTCGCACCTGGATAAGATAAATTTTGTAAACAAGATATTTTTTCTTGCAGAAAGTAATAGCTGGACAAATATCACAACCTGTAATGTGTTTTAGGCTCAAACCTTTGCCTACAGATTTTTATTAAAACTACAACACCTGTAGGTACAATTCTTAAAACATGAAAAACCTTTTATTTGTATGCATTTCTTGCAATCGAAATGACTTTGCAGTCATTTCGATTGCAAAGTTTATTCCTGATACCAATATCAGTTCTTGGAATTGTGATCTATTTATATAAAATAGAAAAAAGGTCAAATGTAGTGACACAATCACTTTTGCTTATCAATATTTTCGGGTACAATGGTGCTTGATATATAAACAAATCTAATTTATCATTATCCATGAATAATAATAAATGTCCTTTAATTAGGTAACATTAGACAGATATATGTCGGATCTCTGTAATTTCAAAAATTATTAGGCAGACTTTAATTCTGCATTTCTAACCGCCAATTGGCGTAAGTCGAAGTTTATTCCACTTTACGAGTGCTGGAACGTCGCCACCTGAGTAAATTTTGTTATATTCTCAGTTTTCATTACCAATTATTCCCTCAGCTTCAGTATAATTACTTTTTCTCAGATATACATGTATGACAATTAATTGTTGTATATTTATTATTATCATCAGTTTGAGATTGTTACACGAACAACGGATAACTTGCAGTATAAGCTCTTGAAATGTTTGAGTCATTTGGTAAATGGTCTCACGGAGGACTTTGTGACGAGTAATGTGACTGGATCGTATAGGGAGTTACCTCTTGGAGGACTGTGACAAGCGGTGTCACCGACGACCATTTGACAAGCGATTTATCGTTGGAGTGTGTTACACTGATTTTCGAGGTCTTCATTAACCGGTGGCTGCTTATCTACCTTACATATGACCGTATGACCGCGTTCAAGACCAAAGGTGATTATTTGTCGTTACATATTGAACAGTAAAATTAATAGCAGTTATTATCGGTTTCAGTTCGGTACTCTGGGAATTGCATGTTATTATTGTTATAGATTCAGCTACTCTATTTCTAAATAGCACGGGTTATTATGAGCCTATAATGAACATTGCATGTTGTTTAAGATTCGCTACCTGGAACAAAAAGTTCCAAGTAACACGGGCTATGGTGAGCCCATAGACGGTTATCGCGTCTTGTGCAATTAATAGCAGCGAACTGATGCTATATATTCTGCCCGTCATCTATGAATGTTAGTTTGCTGTACATTTTAAGCTTTTCAACCCCAGATTTGTTTAAAATATATAATATTTATTAATGCATATTTTCATATAAATTCTTTATCAATAAATGGAGTCAGGTGATATAAATGCGTTAAATTTTGAGTTTGACTCGGTCGATGATGGGATCAGCGCCACTAAAAGCCAGATAAATGCAATTATCGATAAACACCTTTATCATAACGATGATCACAACAGGCACATCTGATACATAAATTATCACGTTGACTAGACCACACACTAGAAGGTGAAAGGACGACGACGTTTCGGTCTGTCCTGGACCGAAACGTCGTCGTCTCTTCACCTTCTAGTGTGTGGTCTGGTCAACATACTTTAGCCATGTTATTGTGACTCATCGCCTGCATTATCACCTTTTGAACGTCATGTGGAAGTTCCCATGACCAGGTTGGACCTTACTGGATGTTTACGTTATATGGCATTCGCAGGCATAAGCAAATTAAGAAACTAAGGAAGGAAATAAAGTTAGACAACTATTCAAATTATGTCGGGACTTCAGAGCCAAAGTTCTCAAGAAATAGCTGTTTAAATGTTAACTATCAGTCAAAATACATTCAAGGCTATAATAACAAAATACATGGATTCGAAAACTGGAATTACTATCGAATATTATACACAAATGTGAATTAAGGGATAAAGCGACCATTATAGGTCCGCGGTTGTTCAACGTCCTCCCAGCAAGCATAAGAAATATTGCCGGAACAACCGTGGACATTTTCAAGAGGAAACTAGATTTATTCCTCCAAGGAGTGCCGGACCAACCGGGCTGTGGTGGGTATGTGGGCCTGCGGGCCGCTCCAAGCAACAGCCTGGTGGACCAAACTCTCACAAGTCGAGCCTGGCCTCGGGCCGGGCTTGGGGAGTAGAAGAACTCCCAGAACCCCATCAACCAGGTATCAACCAGGTATATAACCTCGTTTATTTGCGAAATGTAGAAAGAATGTTTGTGTGAATTTATAGCATCATACAGGTTAATGTGCCGAAGATCATCATATTCAAACGTGTCAATGACTCTATAATCGCAAGTTTCAATGTAGGAGTTTAGTCACTGAAGCAGCATCAGAGGTGATGGTCAGAGTCGAGAGTAAGATTAAGAGTTGAACTCACCCGAGACATCACTCTGGAACTCACCCGAGACATCACTCTGGAACTCACCCGAGACATCACTCTGGAACTCACCCGAGACATCACTCTGGAACTCACCCGAGACATCACTCTGGAACTCATCCAGACCGCTGCTTGGCCAGGCGGCAGCCGCAGCTACCAGTGAACACAAGACCAGGAGCTTCATGGTGACGAGTGATGGTGAGTGGTGATTGTGGCCGCCTTATATACCCCCTGATGACTTAAGGCCGCTTAGCACCCAATGATCTGATGCTTGTAATCTCTTGTATTTGTCAAATGTCCTTATCTCTGGACGTCGAACTGAATGGAAAATTTTGTTCATCCTCGAAATGAGTGTGTGTGTGTATTATATATATATATATATATATATATATATATATATATATATATATATATATATATATATATATATATGCATATATATATATGCATATATATGCATATATATATGCATATATATATATATATATATATATATATATATATATATATATATATATATATATATATATATATATATATATATATATGCAGAAAATCCACAGAGAAATGGGAGAGAGAGATGACAACACCTGACTGCAGAAACTCCAGTCAGGTGTTGACATAGGCCCAGATCGGCCGAAACGTTCATCTCTCTTTCCCATTTCTCTGTGGATTTTCTGCATACAAATGATCAGTGTTTAGTGATCGTCAATTGCATATATATATATATATTATATACGGAATACGACACAAAATGGGGTACCATAGCAGACCCAGCACTCAGACCAGCCATGTCAAGAGCCAAGAAACAATCCAGCTGGGACAGTCCCATTGAAGACAAAGGAGCCACAGCTTTGCTGAAGGCAGCAACAACCCCCAGTGATCGTGTACGCCTCACAGCTGTGCAGGCTCCCCATGCAGGGGACTTCCTTTTGGCAGTCCCTATGTCTGCGACAGGCACACGTCTTGATCCGCAGAAGTTTCGTATTGCAGTCGTTCTCCGCCTTGCTGCCCCTATCCACACTGTTCATAGGTGTATCTGAGGCGAGGCAGATGCTGACGAATATGGATTGCATGGCCTGCACTGTGGAAAATCTGGCGGTTGGCACATTAGGCACGACGAAGTCAGTGTCATCAATAAGAGAAGCCTTGCCTCTGCCCAGTGTCCAGCAGAGAGAGAACCCCGCAATCTATTAAACCGTGACTCTGTTAGCTTTGCCGGCTGACCAGACGGAATCAAACTGTGCCTTTGGAAGGGTGGCAGACAGTTGGCGTGGGACTATACTTGCGTATCCACCCTGGCAACCACATACATCAACCTCTCTGCCGGCCAAGCAGGAGCAGCGGGGAGACACAGAGAAAGATACAAGTCAACCAAGTACAGGGAATTAGACCACCGGTTCAACTTCGTTCCAATAGGATCTGAGACCCTAGGCCCATGGGGAGAGAGAGCAAGAAGGATTTTGGTTCCAGGCTTATTGACACTACAAGAGACCCTAGAGTGGCAAGTTTTCTCTTCTAGCGCCTCAGTGTCACGATCCAGAGGGGGAAATGCCCGCTGCGTCCTAGGTTCCTGCCCGGCGTCGGAGGAGTTCGAGGAAACCTACAGCCTCTAGGAAACAAACTTCCTCTTATGTCCTCGTAATGTTAATTTTTTGTAAACAATCATATGTGTAACTGTATAACTTTGTATAATAAAGTGTACAACATAAAAAAGGGGGGTGGTAAAAGAAGTGAACACTTATATGTATTCAGAGTTTCATGGCAAGTTTTTCTCTGAATGCTCTGTGTTCCCTTCTTAGAGGCTGTGAGTCCCTACAATTGCACCAGAGGTGGTACCCCCCAATATATATATATATATATATATATATATATATATATATATATATATATATATATATATATATATATATATATATATATATGTCGTACCTAGTAGCCAGAACGCACTTTTCAGCCTACTATGCAAGGCCCGATTTGCCTAATAAGCCAAGTTTTCCTGAATTAATATATTTTCTCTAATTTTTTTCTTATGAAATGATAAAGCTACCCATTTCATGATGTATGAGGTCAATTTTTTTTTATTGGAGTTAAAATTAACGTAGATATATGACCAAACCTAACCAACCCTACCTAACCTAACCTAACCTATCTTTATAGGTTAGGTTAGGTTAGGTAGCCGAAAAAGGTAGGTTAGGTTAGGTAGGTTAGGTTGTCGAAAAAACATTAATTCATGAAAACTTGGCTTATTAGGCAAATCGGGCCTTGCATAGTAGGCTGAGAAGTGCGTTCTGGCTACTAGGTACGACATATATATATATATATATATATATATATATATATATATATATATATATATATATATATATATATATATATATATATACACATACACACAAATTTCGAGGATGAACAATATATGAATTTGAGCAAAATATGTCCCAAAAGGAATTTGACCGCAATAGGAAAATGTTGCAGATGCACCCTTACCTGTTTAAGAATCTGAGTGGCCATAATCCTGCCTTGTCTCTCTCTTACATATCAGCAGGCAGCGTAACGAGCGTAAGCCCCAAACACATCAAATAAATGCTAAACCCAACAGTTGGTGATGCTACACAGGCTTTCCTGGTTAAACTTACGATATTCGAAAACATTTGCCTGGCTGCTGAAATCCAAGAGATCATCATGCCTCTCTTATTTGGTACAATCTTTTGTGGTCTAAAATGAAAGAAAGATGGGGAATCAGGTCAATTACTGTTGATCACGCACTTTGACGCCTAGTATCTGAGACTGCTGTAAGATTATGCTACCAGAAAGCAGCTATCAGCGGCAAGACATGTGGTTGCGAACTTACACTACCAGTAAAACAGATCAGAAGATACTGGGTAAACGTGATTTAAAAAAAATGCATTCAGCAAAAGATACTATGCTCAAGACTGTTCCTAGTCATTTCCCTTCCCATTATTCATTCATAAAATAATTATACCTTGTCATATCACAGCTTATATTTGGGAACAATGACATACTCGTGTAAAGGTGTTTAGTATGATTATCCCATGGAATTCTTCTTCCTATTGTTTGCTTAGCAATTAAAATGGTTGCTGTCTGTCCCAATTAAAATGGTTGCTGTCTGTCCACTGAGCTCAATATCTCGTTCCTTCATGATGACACTCTTGATGGTATCTTAGATGCTCTTCCGGAGGCTGTTAACATTACCCAAGCAGGCATATTAATATAATCAAAGACATTCTAGGTCGCGTTCTTAACTCATCCAAGAACGAAATTTTCTTCACCGATTCCTACAATACTGATCAATCAAAAGTCCTTCAAGACATTGACATTATTGATACTCTGGATTACACGCTTCATGACTGCCCCCTTGTATTGCACACTTCATGACTGCTCCTTTGGATTGGACGCTTCATGACTGCCCCCTTGTATTGCACGCTTCATGACTGCTCCTTTGGATTGGACGCTTCATGACTGCCCCCTTGGATTGGACGCTTCATGACTGCTCCCTTGGATTGGACGCTTCATGACTGCTCCTTTGGATTGCACGCTTCATGACTGCCCCCTTGGATTACACGCTTCATGACTGCCCCCTTGGATTACACGCTTCATGACTGCCCCCTTGGATTACACGCTTCATGACTGCCCCCTTGGATTGCACGCTTCATGACTGCTCCTTTGGATTGCACGCTTCATGACTGCCCCCTTGGATTACACGCTTCATGACTGCCCCCTTGGATTACACGCTTCATGACTGCCCCCTTGGATTGCACGCTTCATGACTGCTCCTTTGGATTGCACGCTTCATGACTGCCCCCTTGGATTGGACGCTTCATGACTGCTCCCTTGGATTGGACGCTTCATGACTGCTCCCTTGGATTGCACGCTTCATGACTGCTCCTTTGGATTGCACGCTTCATGACTGCCCCCTTGGATTTGACGCTTCATGACTGCCCCCTTGGATTACACGCTTCATGACTGCCCCCTTGGATTACACGCTTCATGACTGCCCCCTTGGATTGCACGCTTCATGACTGCTCCTTTGGATTGCACGCTTCATGACTGCCCCCTTGGATTACACGCTTCATGACTGCCCCCTTGGATTACACGCTTCATGACTGCCCCCTTGGATTGCACGCTTCATGACTGCCCCCTTGGATTGCACGCTTCATGACTGCTCCTTTGGATTGCACGCTTCATGACTGCCCCCTTGGATTGGACGCTTCATGACTGCTCCCTTGGATTGGACGCTTCATGACTGCTCCCTTGGATTGCACGCTTCATGACTGCTCCTTTGGATTGCACGCTTCATGACTGCCCCCTTGGATTTGACGCTTCATGACTGCCCCCTTGGATTACACGCTTCATGACTGCCCCCTTGGATTACACGCTTCATGACTGCCCCCTTGGATTGCACGCTTCATGACTAACCCCCTTACATACCTTTAGAGAGGTTCTCCATCCCACAACAACACCAAACTGAGAGTGAAACCCTTCTGAGGTCCACGCTAGAAAACGTCCATATCCTTCCTCGAGATGACTCAGAGTGACATAAACTACTCTTTTCGTCAGATCTGGCGTCCAGACAGCCTCTAAGATTGCTTTGCTGGCTGGCCTTTTCACTTTGCATCTTATCATCATGTAAACGGATATGAGAACTTCCATTCTTATGTTCTCATATCGAAGTTATACCCATTGTTTCATGTTCTGTCTTGTGTTTGTCACAAGTTTGTTCACCTCACCCAAAACTTTTGTACCATATCACCTCACCCAATTGAGTATAAGTACGATGAATTTATGTGTAAATTAAATCTTTGAAAATGTAATAAGCCATTATGAAACGCGTTCAGGCGTCAGACAATAAATAAAAATTAATTTTGGAGAACTGATATTTCCATTACAACCGACAGTGAAGAAAAACATAAGAAATATTGAGAAAATTCTTGTAATAATTATTAATCTTACATTTTCGGACATATTCAACAACATATGTTTACAAGAAAGACTGTTATCAGAATATATATATATATATATATATATATATATATATATATATATATATATATATATATATATATATATATATATATATATATATATATATATATATATATATATATATATATATATATATAAAATATATATATATATGTTTTTTGAAGGAACTGGGTTCTAGGCTCATTGAAACAACAAGGGACCCTAGAGCTGACAGCTTTCTTTTCCAGCGCCTCAGCGTGGCTATACAGAGGGGAAATGCGCACTGCATCCAAGGTTCCTGCCCGCCATCTGAGGAGCTGGAGGAACTCGACAACCTATGATAGCCATCTTTGTAACCTATATGTAACTCCTTTTTTGTAACAAAGTTCAAATAAAGCAAATATATATGTGTACATACAAAAGAATGGGGGTGGTAGGAGAAGATAATATTAGTGTTCAGTGAGAAACCACAAGGTCTCCTCTGAATACTTTTTATTTTCTTCTCCGAGGCTATGGGTCCCCACATTGGCACCAGAGGTGGTACCCTTCTTTTTATGTATGTGCATATATATATATATATATATATATATATATATATATATATATATATATATATATATATATATATATATATATATATATATATATATATATATGCCATTAAACAGTCATTTTAATTGTGAAAATTTAGTTCCCAATTATGTTAATATAAACTAAATATTCCTAAATAAATCTCAAAGTAGAATTAACATTTCTTATAAGTACGACGTCCAGAGATAAGTAAATTTGACAAATACAAGAGATTACAAGCATCAGATCATTGGGTGCTAAGCGCCCTTAAGTCATCAGGGGGTATATAAGGCCGCCACAATCACCACTCACCATCACTCGTCACCATGAAGCTCCTGGTCTTGTGTTCACTGGTAGCTGCGGCTGCCGCCTGGCCAAGCAGCGGTCTGGATGAGTTCCAGAGTGATGTCTCGGGTGAGTTCCAGAGTGATGTCTCGGGTGAGTCCGACTCTTACTACTGTTACTCTTACTCTCAACTCTGAACCTCACCTGTTGCCTCTTCAGTGACCAAACCCCAATACGGAAACTTGTGCATAAAGTCACTCACACATAAACAGCTACGTTTGAGCCTAATAGAGAGTGGCACTTGTGTATTCTGTGCACTGATGTGGACTCTCACACACTAATTTTCACAGAGGAACAAGGTTATGTAATGCTCTTTCTATCACATATTTCACAGTTTTCTATTATACTCGCTAACTAATTATTCTCGATAGCTAGTTCAGTTCAGCTTCAGAATTTATTAGTTTTATTATTCTCAATTTGCGTGTTTTATGCTATATTTGCGAGTTTCTTCGGTGAACTCTATTTACATTGCACTTTCTCAAATATTTATATGAAAATAAAAAATAAATTAATTAGGAAGGCTTGAAATTCAAGTGCAAACTTTGGGGAGCTGATATTGATATCTGAAATTTAATTAATAGAAAGTTCTGTATATTCAATGATATATATATTGGAAAAATATTTTGGATTTTTTCCATTATATTGTCATATATGACTAATTTGCAATAAGTTAATTATATATTAATTATATAATTATAGATTTAAATATTCATATATTACTTATTTGCAATAAGTTAATTGTTTTTAATGTTTTCAAAAATTACACATGCCTGTTTTGTTTTTAAAATAATGCTGCAGGTTGAGGATTAAGCCTAAAACACCAAAGTCGGCCGTGGTCCAGCCATTAGTACAATTTCTGCAAGAAAAAATATCTTGTCCACCACAAAATATAATTGACTTGCCAATAATAAACAAAATTTATCTTATTCAGGTGCGACCTTAGCCAAGAGACAGCAAGACGTCAACCACCTGCTCGACTACATCTATGACCACCTTCACTATGCTGACTTGAAGACCATCGCCGGGACCTTCTCCCCTGAGGCTGACACCTCCATCTACACTGATGCTGGCGCAGCCGCCCATGTCCTTATGGAGGAGCTCAGGGACGGCAGGCTGTTGGAGCAGCGCCATTGGTTCTCACTTTTTAATACTCGCCAACGTGAAGAAGCTCTCATGCTCTTTGAAGTTCTGATTCACTGTAAAACGTGGGAGGCCTTCATTAACAACGCTGCTTACTTCCGTGAGCGCATGAATGAAGGAGAGTTTGTGTACGCACTCTATGTGGCTGTCATCCACTCAGATCTGGGACATGGCATTGTACTTCCTCCACTCTACGAAGTCACTCCTCACCTGTTCACCAACAGTGAGGTCATCAACAAGGCTTACTCAGCCAAGATGACTCAGACACCAGGCAAATTCAAAATGGATTTCACCGGAACAAAGAAGAACAAGGAACAGCGAGTGGCATACTTCGGCGAGGATATTGGCATGAACATTCACCACGTTACTTGGCATATGGACTTCCCCTTCTGGTGGAAGGACTCCTACGGCTACCACCTGGACCGCAAGGGAGAGCTCTTCTTCTGGGTTCACCACCAACTTACTGCTCGCTTTGACTCTGAGCGTCTCTCCAACTGGCTGGATGTTGTTGATGAAATACACTGGGAAAAGGTTATTCACGAAGGATTTGCTCCACATACCAGCTACAAGTATGGCGGAGAGTTCCCAGCTCGTCCTGACAACGTTCACTTCGAAGACGTTGATGGTGTAGCTAAAGTGCGTGACATGGTTATCTTAGAGAGCCGCATTCGCGACGCCATTGCTCTTGGCTACATCACCGACAAAAGCGGACACCATATCGACATCAAAAACGAGCACGGAATCGACATTCTAGGAGACATCATTGAATCTTCAGTGTACAGCCCCAACGCGCAATATTACGGAGCCCTGCACAACACAGCTCACATAATGCTTGGTCGCCAAGGTGATCCTCACGGCAAGTTCGACATGCCTCCAGGTGTCATGGAACACTTCGAGACCGCGACCCGTGACCCAAGCTTCTTTAGACTTCACAAATACATGGATAACATTTTCAAGGAACACAAAGACAGCCTTCCTCCCTACACCAAAGAGGACATCGCGTTCCCTGGAGTAGTCTTGGACAGTGTTGCCATTGATGGAGAACTGAAGACATACTTTGACACTTTCGAGTTTAGTCTTATTAATGCCGTAGACCAGTCTGAGAACGTTGCAGACGTTGACATCTCCGCTGATGTAAACCGCCTCAATCACCAAGAATTTTCTTACAATATTGACATCACAAACAACAATGGCAGAAAAGTACTAGGAACCATCCGCATCTTCTTGTGTCCTCTTAAGGACAGCAATGGAGTCCCCTACACCTGGGAAGAAGGTCACTGGTTCTGCATTGAGATGGACAAGTTTTATAAATCACGTAAGTATATCCTTCATTCCGTAATTGTACTATAATTTAGATGGCTATATTTTGAGACTCGTGTATCGGCCAACTTTGGAGACAAATACTTTTTGATTGACTAAAAAAATACTATGCTAATAAAAAAACTGTATGTTAATTAACATGTATTTTTTCTGTAATTCAATACAGTTGCTCCCGGAACTAACCACATTGTTCGCAAGTCCGTTGACTCTTCAGTAACAGTTCCTGACAGACCAAGCTTCGCCACACTGAAGAGGAAAACTGACCAGGCCGTAGCCAGCAGAGGCCGGCTTGACCTCCACGAGTTCGAACGGTCGTGTGGCATCCCCAACAGACTGCTCTTGCCTAAGGGTAAGGAGAGGGGAATGGACTTCGCCTTGTTTGTGGGTGTGACCAACGGTGACGAGGATAAGACCGTAGACAACCCTGAACAGCTCGGTCCCACGCATGCTCAGTGTGGCATTCACGGAGAAAAGTACCCAGACAAGCGGCCCATGGGTTACCCCGTCGACCGCAGAGTCCCAGACAATCGCGTCTTCCTTGAGTCTCCCAATATCAAGAGAATCTACGTCAAGGTCTTCCACGATGCGCACTAATACAATTTGCACTTCCAGAATGTATTGGTTTTGAATGAGCAATACTTCAACGATCCACACTAAAATACATATAAGTCCACATAAAATTTTGTTGCTTCATTAGATTCCAATTGCCAAAAAATTAATTAGGTTTGAAAGTTGACTAATAATTTTATAATATAAATAAGTTGCATTTGAAGATTATTTGAAACTTTGAGAATTCCATGTTTAGATGTTATTGGTCATAACGCTTTTACGAACAATTTCGTGCAATGAATATAAGTAAAAATTTTTCAGTAGGCCTGACATTGTCACATTGTCACATAGAGGTTATTCCTCCATTACTTTATGTTTAAATACATTAATTGTATTGTTTGTATTATCTCATTAAGCCTGGTAACAGCGAGGCTATACGAAAGTATACTTCGCCCATCTGTTTGACGTCACAATTTTTTTAAAATTTTCAAGAACATCGATGCCCAAAGAAAATGTTTTGTCTTGACAAAAACTTTAAATTTTTATTAAAGATGCACTTAAATCTGACTTTCATTCAGACATATTTATGATAAACCAAACACTTGTAATAATATTGTGATATGTCGTAACATTTATTACCTTTGCAGGGTGAATGGTAGCTGTTAAGGGATGGTCATTGATCAATTATGTTTGCAATTATTTATCCATCTGCTGGATAAAGGGTTTTGGGTCAGGGTCGCTCTATATGCTATACCACTCAATCTTTTCCTCTTGTCAACAATATCTTATCTCTAGAATATGTACACAGAGAAAAATGTGTTCATCGTTTTAACCACGTATTTGTTTTAATTTGCTGGACAGTTTTCAGTTTTGCTTCCAAACAATTGTATATAATAGATATTTATAATTGGAAATCTCTTTCTGTGCCTGTTAGTCTGTATGTCACCTCGAGGACATACCTATACCTCTGGCCTATATGGCCTATATACATACCTCTGGCCTATAACCTCCTCATGGAGGTTATAGGCCAGACCCTTCAGGTTAGCTTCACTTATTAGTTCCCACAGTGATTTATGTTTGATATGTGGCAAAAATGGGTGGGTAGGAATTTGCTTTGGTATTATTTTGAAGTTAAATCTGGGTGAGACATAAAATAAAAATATGCTGCACAAATGATGTTAGGTAAGGAGAAGGGTAAAAACGTCAAAAACTTTATTCATTGAATACTTAAAGCTATAACTATGACTATCTTCTTGAGGTTATCTTGAGATGATTTCGGGGCTTTTTAGTGTCCCCGCGGCCCGGTCCTCGACCAAGCCTCCACCCCCAGGAAGCAGCCCGTGACAGCTGACTAACACCCAGGTATCTATATTACTGCCAGGTAACAGGGGCATAGGGTGAAAGAAACTCTGCCCATTGTTTCTTGCCGGCGCCTGGGATCGAACCCAGGACCACAGGATCACAAGTCCAGCGTGCTGTCCGCTCGGCCGACCGGCTCCCATTGGACTATATGGACTATTAAAAAAGAGAGAGGGAAGTAGGGGTCCAAGAGCTCTTCCTGTTACACAACTTGGGTGTGGAACAAGTAATTATCAAAAGAAGGCACCATGCCGGGAAGGCTATGTAGCAGTAAGACAGTGAGGTGAGGCAGCTACTTATTTGAGAAATGCCTATTTTATTTACCTTATAAGCTGAGGCAGCTGATTTTAGTTGAAGAATACTCAGCTGATTCCTCTACATTTAGCATGGAACAAATTTGTGTCTAAGACCTCTTCCTGTTACACAATTTGGCTGCGTGCAACCAAACTAGAAGTTCTCTACAAATCAAGGGACCCAGAATGTGGAATGACCTCCCAAATCATATCAAAGGCTGTACCTCTCTCAACCAGTTTAAGAGTAAAACCAAGTACTACCTAATTAACTTCATGTAACCTACCTTACCCCCTTAATGTCGACCCATGTCTTGCTATTTTTTAAACACTGTTGTTTGTTCACCAACGTGTACAATTGCTGATTTCTGCTATGTTACCCCCTTTTTTATTCTTTCTTTCAACACAATTTATACCTAACCCCGATTACTATTAAGTTTTAGTCTAAGTGTTTTTCCCCTCACACCTTGCCCGAAATACTATGAGTATTAGTGGCTTTAGGTATTGTATGTACTAGATCTGTCTATAAATCCAACATTATGATTGTAAATCAACTATGTACTTTACCTGAATAAAATTTATTTATTATTTATTTATTAATCAGCAAGTAAGTATTAAAAGAAGGCACCAAGCTGGGAAGACTATGTAGCACCATTGTGTGTAGCAATAAACCAATTTTTTTTTAACAAATAATGCACCTGAATGATAAAACAAATCCTGTCAGCTGTAAAAATATTGATGCAGTTAATTAAATAAAAAATATAATGAAAGAAATATTACTGGTTTATTTTTATCCTATCTTTTTGTACTGTACAGTATATCCAAGGAAGTGAAAAATTGAGAACAAATCCACAAGGGCCGTGACGAGGATTCGAACCTGCGTCCGAGAGCATCCCAGACGCTGCCTTAATCTGTGTGTGAGAAAAATTGAGACATAATGCACAATTTAATATATGATTAAAAAATGATTAGCATGGATTAGCAGTTCAAAAGAAATATGACTATTACATATCAACATGAGATCTTAATGATCCATGGTTAACATGATTTAATAAGGATAATACAGTACTTGTAATAATACAAACTATAATTTAGAATCTTTTTTACTGTTTTTTTTATTAAGAAGTTTAGGTATACACAGCAATGTGCTGTTACCCTATTCTATGTGGAATATTACACAGGGTAGATAAAAAACTAGCTATAAGTTTATCTAATATTCTAATGTCACAGGATGCTTAGGCATACATGGAATCAAGGTAGAAAATACCATACTCAATACAAAAATCAAATCAACTCTGACTAAACAACACTTCACGATTTTCACAAGAGGTAAACACTGAATCACGGGAACATAATAATTACTCTTATCAGTTTCTACAAGACTCCTCTCAAACAATGTATTTTTTAACATGCTTAGGTATACACAGCAATGTGCTGCTTCCCTATTCTGTATGAAGGACCACACAGTGTAGATCAAAAAACAGTTACAAGCTCATCCAACATCCTCACCTCACAGGTTGGCCAGTCATACATGGAATCAGGAGAGAACAAAATACTTAAGGCTGATCTATTAGCCTCCACTGGCAAAATCTGGGTGCAGCACAAGAATATCTTCCAATATTTCTGAGTGTATGAAGTAATTACAGAGCTTAAAGTACATCATACCATTTGGTATGACGTCACTGATAACAGGGCAATCACAGATATAGTGTTGGAGAGTATGTTCTCTCAAGTAGGAATGAAAACAGATGTTTTTTTCCACCAAGAGGGTTATAAACCCATGGAACTGCCTACCCGCTGAAGCCGTAAATGCCAAATTCCAGCTAAAAAATTTCATTAAGACAATTGGTAGGCCCTTTAACAAGCCGCCGGCTTTCTGTCCTCGTCGAGGCCACTAGATAGTTAGTGGCCCTTGGGTAAATTCAGTAAATATATACAATAATTATCAGCGCATCTTCCGAGCAACAAGGACAGCTACACAGTATCTCTTAAAATTACATAGGTAAACAACAAATGTAACATATTTGTTTACTACAATGTCGGTGCTGGCTGCAGAAGTTGAAAAAACATTGTTTTACTTCGAAATATACTAATTTTATAAGAAAATTCGACGTAAATATGAGACAGTAGAGTGCCAATAAGCCAGCGCCAAATCTTCAATATGAAGAATGTTGCTGCCCTCTGATTGGCCAAACGAAACACAGTAGTGACCTCTCTCGGCATGCAGGTGAACCAGACCCAAAACCCAAATATTTTCGTAAGTGGACCTACCTGAATTGCACCTAAGCATCTTCTTAGTGCATAATTAGGAACCTTCGTAGCAAATCTACTTACGAAGAAATACAAGGAGCTTCGTGAATCTAGGTCCAGACATCCACTTGGAGCAGTTTATAACACAGATGTACCTTGACTGAACTTTTGAGAAGTCTGCTTATATTCGTTTTGGCGAAGACGTAATCATTACTTTAGTGCTGTTAACACTGCTTAGCTTGTTGACTGGCCAGTCATAAAACTAAGTAACTGGCTCAAATTACCTGGAATCAGGTAACTGGCTCAGGCATATAAGGTCTTCCAAACGTATATCAACACCTATAAAGAATTCACAAATATTGACATTAAAGTCGCACAATTTACTTTGCCAAATGGCCGTTCAAGTACAATGATCATTCAAGGGACATGACCTAGAACAATGTCTAGGGACATGGTTCTGACTTTGGGAATAAATCACATCTGTTTCTAACATCAAACAATTTTTATCTCTCTTCTCTATCTGGATATCTCTTCTCCGCGAGAAATAATTACAGAAGCAATGAACAAATGTAAATGTATTTGCTTTGTAAAATATCATTTGTATACTGTATGGTTTTGGAACTCCTTGAATCTCTTTAACAGACTGGGGAAGAAATATCATAAGCTACTCAATGCTTTAGAGATGTATTTTATTATCTCCAACTTACTTGAAAGGGAATGAACCGTTAATTAGATATCTAGTGCAACTTTTGATGGGTGATTGGACACGAATTAGCAAGCTTATTTTTAGTTAGAGAGCATAAACGAGGAAAAGACTATATCACCACTCATCAGGTTGTTTGCATGCCCCCCGCCCAACCAAACGCTTCAAATGTTGTTTTCTTTAGAATTCCATATTTATGATCGAGTTTTGGGATTATCGAGCAAATTAGGTTAGCTTTAGGTTGCTCTTTTATCGCTATATTAGAAAGTGTCTTGTTATCTTTAAAGTTAACAAAAAGTCCATAACATTTCAAAACTGACAACCATATCAGTATACAAAGCGTGCTGTTGTCGAGACCTGTTGGTACCTAAGTATTTTTCGAGCATCGAAACGTTTTACGGATAACGAAAGGAAGTGGAATAGTACTTGTAGGTATTGTTAATACTTGGTGTTTCTGGTATTGGAGCCCCAGGATGATAGCGCGAGTGTTGAGGACACAGCCCACAGAGCGTGGGAAATGACATTTCCTTCGCATTGATCATCAGGTACAGGGAAGGTTCAAGATATCAACAAGATATCGTTTAGGCACTTTAGATTTCTTCTCTTATTGTGGACATCCATAGCAGTGTTGCTACGACAGCGGTCTCGTGTTTTTGAGACCGAGTTCGAATCACTGGTGATTTAAGTGCATAATTGTTTAAGTATTTGTAATGTTCTTGTTTTGTCTGTTGCAAAATTACGTTGTATTGTCGTTGTAACAGCGTGTTATATTTTACTGTTGTGATCTTGTTAGAGCATTACACTGAATTTGTCAGTCTCAGTCACCAACTCGTCTTTATACACATCTGCTAAACTTTTCACTGGAAATCCTACTAAAGAAATCATTTTCCGGCAGTTTTATACACAAATGACAAATAATAAATGTACAAATATTTTCGCCAGATTGTAACCTGTTTGGGTTATCACGTGTAAATATATGTCAGGTTTAAATGCATCTTTATTAATGGTCTTGTTTTTCTCAAAGTTAAAACAATTTGCTTATGCATAGTTTTTATTAAAAAATGCAGACCACCATCTGATGGACAATGTATACATTGCCAGGTTAAATAAATAAGAGAAACAATACAATTAATTTATTTAAACATACAATAATGTATAGCTGAGCTCCGTACACAGCCTGAAGACATTCTTCATTTGTTATATGTTATTTATTACATGTGGTTATTATTGGTGTTATTATAGATTCTCTGGCGTGTAAATATTGTGCAATATTGCTCAATTACTGACATGACAAACTAAATATTGCTTCAATAAAATGATTTTGCAAACTCTTGTTGCAATAGATCCTTCAATATACATTCCTATTTTATAAACTGCTGAAGAACTTTCATTAAATAATCGTAGATAACAATGAATAATAATATGTAGTCTTAGATAACTTTTAAATGTGTTTTACATATACTAAAATATGCATTCATTAATTCGTCACGTTTGAAAAATATATTTTGAAAAGCAAACATCGAGCTACTAATGAAAACGTTAATTTTGAAATGGTCGTAGGTTCTCATTAAAAGTGTTCGTTGCTGGTGGTCATTGTTGGTGCTCGATGTTGGTGGTCATTCTAGTGGTGCTCACCGTGGAAGACCTTGACGTAAACTCTCTTGATATTGGGAGTCTCTAGGAAGACGCGATTGTCTGGGACTCTGCGGTCGACGGGGTAACCCATGGGCCGCTTGTCTGGGTACTTTTCTCCGTGAATGCCACACTGAGCATGCGTGGGACCGAGCCCTTCAGGGTTGTCTACGGTCTTATCCTCGTCGCCGTTGGTCACACCCACAAACAAGGCGAAGTCCATTCCCCTCTCTTTACCCTTAGGCAAGAGCAGTCTGTTGGGGATGCCACACGACCGTTCGAACTCGTGAAGGTCAAGTTCGCTGCCGCTTGCTATAGCCTGGTCAGTTTTCGTCTTCAGTGTCTCAAAGCTTGGTCTGTCAGGGACTGTTACTGAAGAGTCAACGGACTTGCGAACAACGTGGTTAGTTCCGGGAGCAACTGTAGGGAATAATATAAAAATTGCATGTTACATCATGTAGCAGTTTTTGATGTAATTAAAAGCAATTAATTAACAGGTTATTAATTAAAATATTTTATTGTGCATGGACGATGCACAAGTGTCTCAAAATATAATATAATTTAATTACAATTCAAGGCAGGCTTTACTTACGTGATTTATAAAACTTGTCCATCTCAATGCAGTACCAGTGACCTTCTTCCCAGGTGAAGGTGACTCCATTGCTGTCCTTAAGAGGACACAAGAAGATGCGGATGGTTCCTAGTACTTTATGTCCATTATTGTTGCTGATGTCAATATTGTAAGAAAATTCTTCGTGGTTGAGGCGCTTTACATCAGCGGAGATGGCAACGTCTGCCACGTTATCCGACTTGTCTACTGCATTAACAAGACTGAACTCGAAAGTGTCAAAGTATGTCTTCAGTTCTCCATCAATGGCAACACTGTCCACGACCACGCCGGGGAACTCTATGTCCGATTTGGTGTAAGGAGGAAGGCTGTCTTTGTGTTCCTTGAAAAGGTTATCCATGTATTTGTGTAGTCTAAAGAAGCTTGGGTCACGGGTCGCTGTCTCGAAGTGTTCCATGACACCTGGAGGCATGTCGAACTTGCCGTGAGGATCACCTTGGCGACCAAGCATTATGTGAGCTGTGTTGTGCAGGGCTCCGTAATACTGTGCGTTGGGGCTGTACACTGAAGATTCAATGATGTCTCCTAGTAGGTCGATGCCGTGCTCGTTTCTGATGTCAATATGGTTTCCGCTTTTGTCGGTGATGTAGCCAAGAGCAATGGCGTCGCGAATGCGGCTCTCTAAGATAACCATGTCACGCACTCTAGCTACACCATCTACGTCCTCGAAGTGGACATCATCAGGACGAGCTGGGAACTCTCCGCCATACTTGTAGCTGGTATGTGGAGCAAATCCTTCGTGAATAACCTTTTCCCAGTGTATTTCATCAACAACATCCAGCCAGTTGGAGAGACGCTCAGAGTCAAAGCGAGCAGTAAGTTGGTGGTGAACCCAGAAGAAGAGCTCTCCCTTGCGGTCCAGGTGGTAGCCGTAGGAGTCCTTCCACCAGAAGGGGAAGTCCATATGCCAAGTAACGTGGTGAATGTTCATGCCAATATCCTCGCCGAAGTATGCCACTCGCTGTTCCTTGTTCTTCTTTGTTCCAGTGAAATCCATGTGGAATTTGCCTGGTGTCTGGGTCATCTTGGCTGAGTAAGCCTTGTTGATGACCTCACTGTTGGTGAACAGGTGAGGAGTGATTTCGTAGAGTGGAGGAAGTACAATGCCATGTCCCAGATCTGAGTGGATGACAGCCACATAGAGTGCGTACACAAACTCTCCTTCATTCATGCGCTCACGGAAGTAAGCAGCGTTGTCAATGAAGGCCTCCCACGTTCTGCAGTGAATCAGAACTTCAAAGAGTAGGAGAGCTTCTTCACGTTGGCGTGTATTAAAAAGTGAGAACCAATGGTGCTGCTCCAACAGCCTGCCGTCTTTGAGCTCCTCCAGAAGCGCATGGACGGCTGCGCCATCATCAGTGTAGAGGGAGGTGTCAGCCTCAGGGGAGAAGGTCCCTGCGAGATCCTTCAGGTCTTTATAGTGAAGGTGGTCATAGATGTGCTCCAGCAGGTGGTTTACATCTTGCTGTTTCTTGGCTAAGGACGTACCTGGAGAAAATAAATGGTCGTTGTTTATTAAATGCAAGTTATGAAATATTTGTCCTGAAGAAGACAATTTGCTGTGAGAAACTGACTGAATGTGTCTTTATAACAGAATTTTCAAATTGACAACTAACAAAATTTACTAACAAATTGCTAGCACTGTCACGTCCACCACGTTCGGCGAATATCGAAATGATCCCGGATGTTTAATTACACGAAATAATACAATCAGTTTTTATCTATTCAATATTTAGATTGCCTCGGCTTGTACATGTAATTCTGAAAAAAATTAACTGTATATTTTCAATTTCCATCGTTTTGAGATCAGTACGTAATAAATTCATTCTGAAGATACACGAACCAATTGTTGAACAAAATGGTACTATAATTATAGTACTTAGAACAAATATTTGGTAAAATGTACTACAATGGACTGTAGCAGCCAACAAAGTTTAGGTTCTCTACTATTAATCTTATTGAGGGCACGAGAAAAAACTCAAACCAAACTTAAAGTCTGTAATGTCTACTTTAGCACATATGCGTTTAATTAGGCTTAAGATTACACATATTACTCCTAAGATTGCTATTTTTACCCTAGTACAGGTTAGATTTGATAATTAAGTTACTGTTTCATTTTGTTAATGCAATTTGGGGTAATGAATCGTTCAAAAACGTAAAGTTTTTAGGCCAAATATTGTATTTTTGTTTGTTTGTATTTTGTAGCTATGAGTACTGTCATTTTTAGAGGATAGGTTGTTAGGACCATATGACAAGTGTTTTATCCAGGGATCATATGACAAGTGTCCTCTCCCGGGACCATATGACAAGTGTCCTCTCCAAGGACCATATGACAGGTGTTTTATCCAGGGATCATATGACACGTGTCCTCTCGAGGGGCCATATGACAAGTGTCCTCTCCGGGGACTATATGATAAGTGACCTCTCCGGGGATTATATGACAAGTGTCCACTCCAAAGACTATATGACAAGTCTCCACTCCAGAGACTATATGACAAGTGTCCACTCCAAAGGCTATATGACAAGAGTCCTCTCCGGGGATTATATGATATGTGTCCACTTCAAAGACCTTATAACAAGTGTCCTCTCCGGGGACTATATGATAAGTGTCCTCTCCGGGAATTATATGACAGGTGTCCACTTCAAAGACCCTATGAGAAGTGTCCTCTCCGGGGGACTATATGACCAGTGACCTCAGGTACCATTATGATACAAGGCATCACAGACTACTTCATGACAAGTGGAGTTACTGACTACCACATAACATGTTATCGCACGACGACCGGTGATGTTTCAGACCAAAGGGAATTATTTTGCGGCATGTATTGAGCGGTCAGAGAAACACTGAAAATTAATGGCTTTAACACAGCATTCTAAATACAACTGCGCAGCGCACTGCTGTGCACAATGAGGTAACATAGCGCCATGAGCTCTGTGGAGTTAACAGCTGGTATATGCGCTCTACACCTGTTGGAAATTTTAGTTTGCTCTCGCCTTTCGGTAATTTTCCTGAATATTTCTCACATGCTGTACTGGGTACCAAAAGTCCAAGTCGGGAGATGAAACTCTGTTAAACTTTGATTTTTACAGTCAGTTCTACCAAAAGACTGGTAGAACTGATCATAAACTGGTAGAAGCGAATCATAAACAGAAACACAAAAGACACGTCTCATACATTATCACCGTTTGAAAGTTCGGACGAATGTCATATTCAGTGGTCATTAATGAGTAAAATTTATAAAGAAAACTACATTGAACTATTCGATCAATAATGGGACGATTGTAATGAGGAAAATACTATGAATAATTAGGTCATTAATTGGGTGGTTACAAGCGCTCACATGACGAGTAAGGAAGATAGAAAAGTAAATGAAAGAGTTAACAAAAAATATATTATACAGAATATTTACCCTTGAAAGCCAAAATTCTAAATAAATATTTTTTTGTTTTTTAAAGTATATGAACGGCTTTTGTTCATTACAGTTCATGTACTAAAAATGGGGTTTGTTGTGAGGTTCAGATTCGAGAGTAAATTAACAACATTAAAATTTGAACTCACCCGGGGAGTCACTCTGGTAGCCATCCAGATCAAAGCTTGGCCAGGCGGCAGCCGCAGCTACCAGTGAACACAAGACCAGGAGCTTCATGGTGGTTGTGGTGGCGAGTGGTGATTGTGGCGGCGTTATATACCCCCGATGACACCCCCGATGACACCACGCATTTCGCTTAGCAACGAAATGCGCCTCTTATGCTTGTAATCTTTTGCTCTCGTCAACAATATCTTATCTATAGAATATATGCATAAAGAAAAAATGTGTTTGTGCTTTTAACTACGTAATTTGTTTAAATATGATGGACACTTCAGATTTTCTTCATAATTATTATATATATTATATATTTTTAATTCATAATCTCTGCCTGTATCTGTCGGTCTGTTTATCAGTTCGAGGCCGAACGCCAGAACCTTCAGGTTAGCTTCACTTATTACTTCTCCAGTGATTTCTGTTTCATACGTGCCCAAAATGGGCGAGTCGGAATTGGCATCAGTAAAAAGAGTGCAATGTAACACTGTTCCAAAGTGACCCCCATGAAATGTTTCACAATACCATTATGACTCGACTCTGAATTATTATTATTACTATTTAGATTTTTTCCGTATAGAAAACTTAATGTGCTGACAATCCAATTATTAAAAAACTAATAATTCTTACTCTTTAATTCTAAATAAACTTTGCTATGGATTTCTGTCCTTAGACTTTATGGGATGTGGGTTGATTTCTTGTGACATTGTTGGTAAACTGATTGTCTTTAAAGTGTTCTTATAGTGCTATCAGTGATATTGTAGGAGAAAGAGACCTGGTCACTTCCGGGTACCCATTCTAGTAAATTTTACTATATATCTATAAATATAATATATATATATATATGTATATATATATATATATATATATATATATATATATATATATATATATATGTCGTATAAATATATATATCTATAAATATATATATATATATATATATATATATATATATATATATATATATATATATATATATATATATATATATATATATATGTCGTACCTAGTAGCCAGAACGCACTTCCCAGCCTACTAGGCAAGGCCCGATTTGCCTAATAAGCCGAGTTTTAATGAAATAATATATTTTCTCTATTTTTTTTCTTATGAAATGATAAAGCTACCCATTTCATTATGTATGAGGTCAATTTTTTTTTATTGGAGTTAAAATTAACGTAGATATATGACCGAACCTA